CCTTCCAGCTCGTGTAGGCCAAGGATTGCGTTAACGCCGCTCCACTGAAAGCTCTGAAGTGTTCTGTACATGGAAAAATGACCTTTTTTTTTTTTTTGGGGGTAAAGTTTGCACTACTTTTAAAGCAGAAACTGCTGAAGAGAGAATTTCAGAAGCTTAGGAAATCTAGTGGTCCCTTATGGCTTACAGTAATGAGTAAAATAAAATGCTCCTTCTGAGTTCCTTCCCCCTGTAATTGAAATAGATGTTGTACTGGAGCTGCAAATCTGCTGCCCAATTATCACCCAACTGGGCTGCTTTACATCGCCTGCTCAACCTCGGCATGATGCGAAATGCTCAGGGGGGTCAATGTAAACATATTTATAGCCCAGTAGGATATGCTGAGCTCTTAATATACGGATAATAATGTTATATATATACACGTACGTGTGCATATATATATGAAAAGAAATAGCTAAGCAAACTTGCATACAAGAGCACAAAGAGCAGTGGCACGGTATGGCTACCTGGCTGTGAAAGACCTGCTGTACTCCAGTGCTTGGCTTGGATATTAATTGCAGAGTGGACATGATCCTCGTTTCAGTGGGGTATCCAAGCTTCCCTTCGCTCGGGTTACTCGGTGTCTGAGCACCGGGACGCTGCATGAAAGACTTGGTCAGATAAACGTGAACCAGCCCCAGTCTCATTAGGGTCACTTCTCACGTTGGGTTGGATGGGGGAGGCTGGGGGCTGACCTTCAGGGCATCTCTGTCTCCCCACAAAACCCTGCCAAATGAGTTGGCTTTGCAGAGCCACACGGTATTTCGCAGGTAAATGCTAGACTCTCACTGTCTACGTGGCTCTAGGTGGGAGAAGAGGGAGGTTGCCACCATCCCACAAAGCGTCACGGGCAAAATTCCTGCCGTCTTTGAAGGGTCCCATGCCAAATCCCACAGGACCAAGTGCCGGGCTCCCCACAACCCATTTCAATGTCATTGGGGGAAAAACCACAGAGCTGAGAGTGTTAGAGACATGCCGCCACATAACAGCCATTTCGGAAAGTCTCTGTAATTTCTTTAATTATTCAGACAACAGAGCACAAGGATAATAGCTTCAAGTACATTCTTATACATTATTTTAACAGTAATAGATATGTATTTAGTCATAAACTATTCTGTAGCCACCACTATGTGTACATTTTATACAAACTATTGCCATACTCGGACCCTGAAAATGGACGGTGACATATCCTAGATGTTTTGCACAATGCTATGACAGTACATCCTTCATACGAGAGCTGTAGCTATAGGTTGGATTGGTCCATCTAACGAAGCACTTCTAATGCATACCACGGAGGGGTGATTGGGACGTGAGGCGCCGAAGGAAGAGATGTAATAAATATACGGTGAGAGGGAGGCATACAGTCACTTGAAATACGTGCGATGGAGAACACGGCACAGCATTTCTTTGCTTGGCAAAACAGGTTGATCACATCATATGGCAGCATCTTAGCTTCTCTCACACCACAAAGCTCTGAGCTCGTCTCAGCCTTTCGATGAAGATTAAACATGGCAATGTCTGATATGGTCCCTACCGGGGCATGTACCCTAACCTGACACAAGTGTGGGCTCTGGTCTAAGGATTTCTTTCATCTCAGTTACCATTTAGACCGAAGCCCCCAAGCCAATGGCTTAAGTTCTATCACTGACATCCCTAAACGCCTTCACCACCTGGCATCTGGAGAAGGTAGGCTCCCTCACGGTCATTTTTTGACCATAAAGGCTTTATAAAATGCCAGCTGCTGTTCAGAGACAAGGGTAAGAGAGCTCAGATATCCAGACACCGCCGTACAAAGGCCAAACTCTTACAGCAGAGACTCATTTGTTCCACGATCACATTTTTACATACCCCAAACCAGCTGCTGTTGCAGCCCCCGACGCGCCAGCAGACCCCAAAGACACAGAGGTGGCAGAGTCCGAGCCAGGGTGGGCAACAGGTCCCCAGCACCCACCAGGCGGTCCACAGTCCCCCATGATGCCCCACATCGTGTGGGCATTAGGGTGGCTTGGTTTCCATCCCGATGGTTCACATGGGCACTGCAGCACATCAGCGGTCACACCGAAGTCTCACCACAAACAAGCTTCAGAGCATGGAGGCAGCCCTGGACTAGAATCAGCCAGGAAGGAGAGACAACATCCATCTGTTAGGGCTTGACATGGGGTGCTCATGCCCAGGGCTTAGCCACCAGCTCCCGGCACCGTTCTGGAAGCTCCCAGGCTTTGAGAGTGGAAGCGCATGGTCTACACTCTCAGGAGGTGGCCCCAGGCAGGGACATCCCCGGAGGCCACCTGATGAGCTACCATCCATCCCAGCAGAGGACGTATCTCTGTATCTCTGGAGCAAAAGGTTGCCCGATGGATGAATGTCCTAGACTGGCGAGTAATGGAAACTGAAGAAAAGGTGAGAAGACATTCAAGGAAAGCTCCCTTCCGGTACGGTCCTGTCGCAGACGCGCACACACACGCACACACAATGTTTTGCAAAATTTTTAAAGGGATCCTGGAAACCCTCCGGGGAGGAGTGCGCGGTGCAGCAGAACCTCACTCATCGGCACCCGGCCAGGACAAGCCCCTCGGTGGGGCTCAGAGCTGGGACCGGGCAAGGGATGCAACCATTGGCCCCACCATTTATCTCCTAAAACACATCTCCGATATGTTCACCCATCCAGGATGGACTCTGGCGCATTACAGCTCAGTAACATCTCTCAGAATAAATTAACAAATTTGTATCCCTTTTTTTTTGTTGTTTTGCGCAGCGTGTTTTGTTCTTTTCTCTGTGGCCTCAAGCCCCGCACCTTTACTCAGGCAAGGTGGCCAGTGAAATCCACTGGTTGTCTCCTTCTTCCAGCATCAGCCACATGAATCCCAGCTAATTCACCAAAGTCAGTGATGCTCCCTCAAATTTCCATCTTCCGGGCACCCAGATTAAAGCTGATTAAAGTCCTGGTGCCGCTGCAAAGTGAAGGCAGCTGCCTGCCTTCGGATTAACTTGCTTCAAAGGGCAAACTTGATTTAACGCCCTCAGAAATGAATTTTAAGAGATGCCTGTGGCCTCTGGACCAGACCGGGAGGAGGACACGGAGCCAGGGCTGGAGCTGGAAGAGGAGAGCATCGCTTGAGTGCAGATGGGGAGTTGGGGCTCCGGTAAAGGAAACTGCGTCTCCCGTTTGCTCGTGCGAATAAGTGAGGTTCTACTGTTAGTACAAGAGATTCCAGGTTACGCACAGATGTGATGGATTCGTTTCCTTAATTAAAGTACCAAAATTAGAAGTTATAAGCAACACATCTAAACGAAAAAATGGGCACTCCTTTAGGCATCATGTTTCCTAAACCAATAAGCAAAAAGGAAAAAAAAAAATGGGATGCACCAGGAACTCTTAGTTATTATATACTAACCAGACTGTGCATGGCACATTTTATTTCTATAAAACTATTAAAACTATTACAAAATATTCAAAAATACATTTTAGTAAATTTACAGCAGTTATTTCTCAATTTATTAATGCAAAACATCCTTTTCTCCCCTCTGTACAAACTACCGTCTCCATCGTCACAGAATTGCCGCCATGTGCGCTTTTTAAAAAATATTATTTTCTAATAAATTTTTTTTGAAGTTAAAAATAACAAAGTTTCTTACGGTTTTTGCAAATAAAAAGTTTGTGTAACAGTCTTGACTTCCATGAACGTGGCCAAATGGTGTTTTTACAAAGCAAAACATGGAAAACAATACAGGAAATGACGTTACATTTGAAACTATTTAAATTAAAATAATATATTCTCATATTTTACACTATTTCAAAAAACGAAATGTGATTCAGTTAAGTATTGATCTCTCAAAAAAATCTAATTTACAATTCTGAGTATAAAAATATAATTTACGGACCCCCATGAAGTTTGTCTTTTTTTTGTGTGTTTGTTTGTTTGCTTGTTTTTTAGACTTGCTGAAATGAAGGAGCAATGTAATGGAGAGATGGGAAAGTACAGAATTTCGCTTTCTGAAAGTCAGGACACACGTGACATGTAGAAAAATAGACTCTGCGCAGTTTTGCTTGGCCTCACAAAATAATTTTTTCCCCTGTGAGTACAGTTCACATGATAATAAATTATCAAAGAAACTATTTAAGGCTCTTGAAGGTCCGGTTCATATCATTTAAAACATCTATTCAAAATACCAAAGAAATAAATATCCAGGAGAGGAGGAAAAAAAAAAACAACAAACAAAACAACAACAAAAAAGAACAAATAAAAATATATATATATTTATAAACTAAACAGAACAGAACTTCCTGGGGTCTTTGTTTCCCTTAAAGTCTACTTTGGACTGTCCTACTTAATTATTATTATTTTATTATTATTATTTTTAAGTCTTAATCCGTGCTCTCTTTTAAAAAATATGTAATTTTTTTTTCCTTTTTTTTTTCTTTTAGGTTTTTCTTTTTTTTTTCTCCTTTTTTTTTCTCCTTTCTCTCTCTCTCTCTCTCTCTCCCTCTCTCTGTGTCTCTGTCTCTCCCTCGGAGGCTGGCGGGTGGCCGAGACGGTGCGGGATGCTCTCAGCTGGATGGCACCACCATGCCCAGCGGGTGCAGAGAGTCACTATCCAGCACCCAGCTGCCGATGCGGCAGAGGAGGGGAGAG